AAAGGGTCACTGAAGGTTTGATGTGGAAACCTTCCTCCTGAGCTGGTTTTGCCATCCCTTTTGGAAACCAGGGCTGTGTTTGGGGCTGGGTTGAGCTGTTGGCGGCTGAAGTGCCAGGGAGAGCATTTACAGTTCAATATCATCATCACAAGGACTTACATCCACATGAGACCATGGCTATCAGCTACTTCCTCTCCCCACATTCCTGGTCCATCATGCCCCATTCCCAAACCATAACCACCATTTAGGAGTGAAGCATCACTTGTGGAGAGGGCTCCTTATGATGGGGAGCAGCCAGATGAGAATTCCAGCCAGAATTCCAGCCATTCCTGCCTCCAGAGACCAGATATCGGGGGTTGAACAGCAAAAGTGATCTTTTATTTCTCAAAGAACATCTGCAATTGCATCAGCATCGCCCAGAGAGGGAATGATTCCAGTGTCATCGTACCCAGTGCTGAACTGGAGGGAGGAAAGCACCATCTCCATTGCGGGTGACCTCTGCTGGGGCTGTGGGTACCACAATTCTATTCTGAAACCCCAAAACAACCCCACTTTCCCCCCAAAAGAAGCCACCAAGTGCCTGTAACTCACATCCCACCATCCTCCCATGCAAAGGCTCCCTCCCAGCCTGCAACAGGCTGGTGGCTGCTCACAGAGGCACAAAGTGGTTCTTGAGGTCGGTAGCTCCAGGTTGGGGGATGTCCTAGGGTAGATCCTGAGGTGGATCCCTCGGGAATGCCGTGTCTAGATGAGGGGGTAGGAGGCGTAGCTGGCGATCCCGCAGTGGTTCTTGTGGTTCCTTACCATGCGGATGTAGCCCTCGTCTCCGAAGCGCACGCCCCAGCTGGAGGGGACAGGATCCAAAGGGACACAAGGAACATTAATGCTCTTCCCTGTGAGTGAAGCAGCAGCTTCATCCTCATCACAACAGGGAAGGGTTTTCATCAACTGCTTCCCAGGGTTCTTCATCCCGTCTGGGGGACGGATGATCTCCAGCTCCCTTCAACCCCAGTGGGTCTGCATTATATCAACACCCGTCAGCACAAAGGGAGCTTAAGGTGGGGGTAAAGCGTATCTGAAATGCACTTAAACACATGTAAATGCTGCTGGGGTGACACAAAGGTGCTCCCAAACATGATTTAAGGACTGAGAGCAACTTCCAGCTCCCTAAGAACCCCCATTGCACCCAGCTCCCTCCCATCTGTAAGGATATTGGTCATTGTGAAGCTGTGAGGGTGCTGGGTCGAGCAGTGGGAGGTGAATGAGGAGAACACGTTCCCTGCAGGTAGTGAGGATGTAGATAACAAGGGATGGGTGGTTGTGTCCTCACCTGTTTTTCACCAGCCAATAATCCTTGTTATCCAGGGTGCCATAGCCGATGATGAGCACCCCGTGGTTCACCTCCTGTGAGCACTGGGGGTCATCGTACACCCCTGGAGCAAAAGGAGGTTGGAAACACAACATCAGCCCACAAGACCTCATCCTCGAGGCAAAGGCGACCTTCACTCTAGTGCTGCTGCCTCAGGCTTTGTCATATTGATGCGTCCAAATGGGAATTAAGCTCCAGCTTCATAGAATCATGGAATGGTTTGAAGGGACCTTAAAGCTCCTCCAGCTCCAACCCCCTGCCAGAGGCAGGGCTACCTTCCACTAGAGCAGGTTGCTCCAAGCCCCTGTGTCCAAGCTGGCCTTGAACACTGCCAGGGATGGGGCAGCCACCAGTTCTCCCTTCAACCCATTCCAGTGTCCCACCATGCTCACAGGGAAGAGCTTCTGCCTCAGATCCAGGAACTTGCCAAATCCCCCCCCATTTCAGAAGCTTTAAGTGCAGAAAAGGCTGTGAAGATCTCCAGGGTAACAGGACATACCTGACTTGTACAAGAAGAAGGTGGGCTGGGTGGCATCAATGGCAACAGAGACTGGTCCAACATTGGCCACAGCATCTTTGAGAGCTTCTTCGTCAGCATGGGGCAGCTCAACGTACTTGGAGCAAGTGGCAGCTCGTGTGGAAGCATTGTATTGGCATGTCCCATTCTGGGAGGAACAAGAGGGAGTTGAGGAGCATGAGGAACCCACCAGGAATGTCTCAGGTGCGTGTTTTCCACCAGCCCTCTTCGACCTTCTACCCCGTTCCTCGCTTGTCTTTGACCACCATTGCTCCATACACAAGACTATGGAAAAGATGGCTGGAAGGAGGTGAAGGGACCATCTTGTCCACCTCAATTCCCCACAGCAACAGCAGCCAAACCATTGCAACACAATTCTCTGCCTCTGTTCTAGAAAGCTCTGTTGACTCTTCCTACTTCCCTAGAGACACTGTTCTTGCTTCCTCCTCCTTCCCATCTAACCTACATTTCTCATGATGTAAATGAAGCCCAGGGCTTTCCATCCTCCTCTGAACAGAGGGAACAGCATTTTGGGGTCTCTGGAGCTGCCTTGTGCTGTTTGAAGCCTTTTATTCCACTTTCCTTCTTGGACTGAGCCACTGTTTCCATAGGCCATGGGTTTGAGGCACCAGGTCATTTCAGGTCACCTCTTATCAAGACCCTCAGCATCAGCATCTTTGTTTTCTTCTACCTCTTATCTTAGGACCTCTTATCTGTTAGAGGCAACTATTAAAGAACATCATCACCCTACAGAGGATGGATTAATGCAGAGCAGGACCAAGGGCTCCTGCCCCATTTTCCCTCTCCTATAACGTGTTGCCCAATCATTTATGTAGGACAGAAAGAAACATGTAGAAATTCTGGCTCCAGGTCCAGTCATTCACCTGGGAGGCAAAACAAAGAGTCCAAAGGTCCTTTCCCTGTGTTCGAAAGGGCTGAGAAGATGAGGTGAGGTTGGTAGAAACCAAGATAGAAGGAGGGATATGGGTGAGAAGGAAGGTGTCTGCAGAGGGGTGAATGGCCTCGTTGTTCCACGCTGGATTCCTGCAGGTTCCACAGGGAAGGTTGGGGTTGGAGGACCTGGCTCTGGCACCTACCTCAGCCTTGTAGGGGTAGGACTCGTCCGAGTCAATCCCGTTGTTGTCGATGATGTACTGGAAGGCTGTGGTCATGAACCCGCCGCTGCAGCCCCGGTTCCCGTACGACACGGAGCAGTCCACAAGGTTCTGGGTGCTCAGAGACACCAACGTCCCCGTCTTCAGCTTCACCTGCGCCTCGAGCGCTCCCACGGCGCTGAAGGCCCAGCACGACCCACAGGCACCCTGCGGGAGCCCCGGAGATCCTCAGACCCCGCTTGGGGACCAGGACATGAAGGGGCACAGGGGGAGCTTCAAACCTGGTTCTTCACATTCGTGACACATCCCTTCTCCCTCCAATCCACCGTGTCCGGGAGCTGGCTGCTGGGCTGTAGGTGGGATGTGGTGATGCGCTGGGATCTGGGAGTGATGCTGAGCCCAGTTAACAAAGCTGCCACCTCCTTGCTGGTCTGGTGGGAGAGAAAACACCGGTTCATGCCCTTATCTCCCCATACTTCGGGTGTGCTGCTGGAGGGGGGTTTCCTTCAAGGTCTGAGCTTGTGCAGTCCTTGGCTGCCTGGTTTTCACATTGACTTTCTACCTGTTCATTGGAAAGGACAAGAAAAAGAATGCACAAAGCTCAACTCCAGCATCCCTACAAGCTGGGATGTGTCACTAAACACCACCACCACCTCAGGACATTGAAGAGGGATGAGTTGCACATAGATATAATGACCAGGACTGGGTCTGAGCACCCCAAAGGCTGCACTGAGGAGTTATTTCCTCACAGCACGTTGCCTCATACTGGTAGGCTGAGCACTGGAATGTCAGAGCAGTTTGTCCACAGCTGCTGGAGGAGCCCACAAGAAGATGGGCTTTTGGGTGGTTTTCTACCCCCAACCCATGTTAAATCACCCTCACAGGGAAGGAGAGAAGCCAAGACAAGCCCCATCCCAGCAGCGTGGCCGGTACCTACCATGTCCCCCAGGTGGTTCATGCCCAGCGTGTAGGAGTGCAGCCCCAGGGAGTGCTCCAGGTTGTGCAGCGTCACCAGGCGCAGGTTCCTCTCCCACGTCGCGCGTCGATCCCATTCCTCCTTCTGGAATCAAATCCAGCCCCACGATGGGCAGCGACGGCCCCCACAGCCATTGCACCCACTTCATCCCTCTAAAGGGTGCGTGTGTCAAACCATCCCCAGGATCCAGCTCTCCTCCCCGCTGGGTGATGCCATGACTGGTTGTGGTGGAGCAGCACCCACCACATCAGCACCCTGAGCCACCCACCAGCACGTCCCTACCTTGTGGCGATACTCCTTGCCATAGGTCTTCTTCCAGAGCTGCCAGTGCCAGTCCAGCGCAGGGTCGTGGTGTCCCAGTGCCACCGCAAGCGTGGCCAGGAAGGCGATGGGAGGCAGCAGCTTCATCCCGCTCCAATGGGACCGGGCAGCCGGAGCGACACGGCACAAGCGCCGGGAGCAGAGGGCTCAGAGCCGGGCTTGACCCTTGGTGACAAATCCGGTTGGGTAAGAGGTAGGAGGTGATGACATCCCTGACCTCAGCTCCCTGGTGTGTCCTTCATGGGGTTTCTACACTGGGTGATGCCACCAGCTCCTGCCCTGTGTGCCCAGAGGAGCTCCCCATAGCCTGTCCCACTGGCACCCCCAACCTCTGCGAGGTGAGAAGGAGAATCCCATCCTGGACTCACTGCCTGCAAGGGGAGAAGTCGGCTGGACCCGAGCCCTGAGGACGCCGACGCACAGGGACACATCCAGACATGAACCTCAGCTCCTGGTTCCACCCTGCTGAGAAACCCTCCCCGAAGGGTTTTCGCATCGCCCGGGCAAGAGGCTGTTCTGTCAAACCTGGGGTTCAAGTACCTCAAAAAGCAAACCAGAACCTCCTATTTTCACCCACCCAGTGCCCAGCAGCTCCTGTGGATGAGCCACCACCTGCAAACTCTACCCAGAGAGGGCTTGGGGAAGATCAGAGCTAAAATGGAGCCAGAGCCAAGATCAAAACATCCTCCTGCAGTTTTACTTCCTCAAAGTTCCATCCTCCCCGAGGGGTGTTAAAGCCAAAAGTACCCAACGTACCTGAAAAGGCTTCTCCTGGTGGTGGGCACCGACCTGCACCTCCGTGGCAGCGTGTGTGTGTGGGGCAGGGGGACAGTGGGGGCAGAGCAGTGTCCCCACTGCCGGGATGTCCGTGGCCTCTGAGTCTGCTCAGCAGACAAATCACGAGCCAGGAAGTGAGGAAGTGCTCTGATTTCATTTTCACTTAGAGGGAGCTGCGCTGGCCAAGCCCCTCACGGGCTCAGCTGGAGCAGGACCCACGGTACCATCAGAGAACACGTGAGGGGTTCTTCTTTCCAGCACCCCCAGATTAGTGGCAGGGCTCCCATGCGGCTCCATCTCATGTGGCTTATGGAGGGACAGGAGCAGGGCTCCCACTCTGCTGGTGTGATTTGTGCACTTCTGGGACTTGGTGCTGAGCTGACAGGCAGGATGAGCTCAAGCACAGGAGCCTTGCTCAGTGTGAACAGGGTAGAAGACCCGAGCTCCCACCTTGCTATTGGTTTAACAGGGCAGACCCAACGCCTTTGCTATTGGTGTGAACACGGTAGACCTGAGCTCCCGCCGTGCTATTGGTGTGAATGGGGTAGACCTGAGCTCCCACCCTACTACGTTGCAAGGGGTCCCCAACAGCATCTTCTCTCTCCACCCCAGTTCCAGCCGTGTTTTACCATCAGTTCCTGCCCCTTTTGGAAAGGGGAAGGACTTTGCCACCACTCCAGCCCCTTCCCACCATGGAGCCAGTGCAGCAGGACCCAGCCCAAGAGTTTATTCCCAACAGTGTTTATTTAAAAATAAAAGTCCTATCATTCCCTGCAGCCCGCCCTGGGATGCAGGGTGCAGGGGACTGGTCTCCACGGGGATGTTCCATTCCCAGAGGAATAGGGCCTGTTTGTATAAGCATCTCCAGGTGGATCAGACTCTCTGGAGCCGGCCCTGAGCGTCTGTAGCCACGGGAAGGCAGAACCCAGCACGGCAAAGGAGCTGGGGGGAGCTCATCCCACCCTCCATCTGGAGCTAGGGCCTCTCCACTTTCTTGGGGAAGATTTCTCATAGAAAGGTAGAGATTCCCCCAGGAGCAACGTCAGCATCAGAGACTGGGAGCAAAGAGGGCAAGGTGGGAAGCGGGGAGGGCAGGAGGGAGCTCACATCCTGGGGAAGCTGGCGAGGTTGGCGATGCCGCAGGCGTTGTTCATGTTGCGCGCCAGAAGCACGTAGCCCTTGTTGCCCCACTCCTCGCCCCAGCTATGAGGAGAAAAGGCAGAGCCTGAGCCACTGGTGGAGCCAGCAGCAGAGCCTGACCCAGTGACAAACAGCCCCAGTGCCCTGTTGTACCTGTTCTTGATGATCCAGTGCTTGGTGCCCTTCTGCGTGCCGTAGCCCACCGCCAGCACCGCGTGGTTGATGTTCTGGGCATTGCAGCTCTCGTCGTAGTACACGCCTGGGGGACAGGAGAGATGGTCACACACTGGACAAAG